GTTTTTTTTTTTTTTTTTTGGAAAGGCCCAAAACTTGATATTGTCGTGTGTCTGTGTTGATTGTTATTGTTGAGTGTAGTTGTGTGTGTGTGCATTTCGTCAGGGCTATGGTTGTGTTTTTGCTTCTGTTTATGCAGATATCAGATAAAAAAACATGAGTTTTCCCCTTTTGATGTTAGGATTATGTTGGGAACAAGCGGATTGAGTTATCTGGCCAATTAATTTCTCTTTTGTTTGAGGTATGTGTGCTTTCATTGCTCTCCTATTCTAAACAAAATGGTTTTGAAAGTTTGTTGTTACTTGTTTCCATGTGGTTCTTCCCTCATTCTTTATTTTCTTAGGATCTGTTCAAGACAATGATTGCTGAAGTTAAGAAGGCTGTAGACAACATATTAACAAAGCCTAGCAGGTCTAGCCGTTTTGACTTTGCACAGGTATCTGCTAGGAATTATTAATATAGTCTGCAATCTTTCAATTGAGTATTCTTTACAATCCAGATAACAACCATTGATAATTACGCATCGTGATGTTTTTACTAGGAAGAAGCAATTAAAAAATCGATACTAGTAGATATTTCAGTAGTCCAGATTTGTGGAAATGGCAGGGAAAACTAAACAATGATGAACATCTATTTTGAAACATGAAAATTTTAGAGATAGGCTTAGGAAATGTTATACTAATCTATATTGCAAAAACTAGACGTGTAAATTTCTCATCTTTGTCTTTCTTTTTTCTTTCGAAAATTACTTCATTAAAAGAGCCAAAGGTTCGAAGTGGCATAAAAGATAGAATTACAATTGAAGGTAAACCTGAGTGGAAAGGAGCCCAAACTTGATAGGCCCAATATTAAGGATAAAATTTAAAACAACTAAGAGGTACTCTCTTAGGAAGAGCAGAAACAGCAAACTTCATTGAAGAAGAAACAACCAGCAATCCAGGATGAAACAGCAGAGCAATAACCATAAACACCCCAGTACATTGAATTACAGAAGAAACACACGGGAGGAGCATATAGGAGTCATTGATAAATTTGAGCTTTGATGAGGCTAGGGGTTGCTTTCTTGGTCCTGAGGTGGGCAGAGAAGAAACAATGGAACGCCCAACTTCATATTTATCTTCTTCAAACTTCTCAGATTAGATCAGCAACTAATCCAAGATTCAGCTGGATTTGCTGAAATTCTACTAAAGATCCCTGAACATTTCTTGAAAATCTACTTATTTTGTCAGAAATTCTACAAAAAACAGTGAAATTCTACTGAAACACTCTATATTACTGAAATTTGTCCGAAACATTGGAGAAAAGTCTGGAAAGGTAGACCTTCTGCCCCTTTCGATTACTGACACTTGGGTTTTACTGGAAGATTGGTTGCCGATATTTGGTACCTTGGGGAGAAGAAGTAGATGAAATTTGAACAAAAAAGGCCTGGTCATTAAACGAGCACATAATTTCCCCATTGTTGTGTTTGTAATAAGGGTGCTTTGGGAGGAACTTATCATATCTTCTTCATTCTTATGGTTTATGCTGTTTAGGGAGTTCAAATTGAGGTGGGTTATACCAGAATCTTGTGTGGTTTTGCAATGTGAAAGGCTTAAGTTTTTGGGAGGAATGAAGATGGCGTGGTTCTGTTAAATGTGCTCTAATGGCTGTTTTCTGGGTTATTTGGATGGAGTAGAACAGAAGGTTGCTTCATGTTGCAAGGGGTTGGAGAAAGAATACATGTGGGAGAGGGTTCATTTCTGGGTATCATGGTGGGCTGTGGAATCATTGGAATCATTATGTTTGCATGTAAGGAAAATGCGACATTCTTTCTTCGTTTTGCAATCTAGTGATCTGAACCATCTATATTCAAGGCTCTCCTTCAAGGATCAACCATGCAAAAAATCAACCAATTCGGAAGTCATTTAGTCATTTGATTGCGATCACTATCATTTCATTTTATGTAACAGAGATCTTGTTTTATCCTTAATGAGCATTGGACTTCGGAGTTAAAAATTTCTTTTGAATGAATCTACATTTTAAAGAATTTTAATGTAAATTTAAATCTCTCATTCTCTTTTGTTTATTTTATTTTTTCCTACTGCAGTGCATAATTAAAGATAGTATTACCCATGGCCTTGAAAGAACCTTATCTACCGGAAACTTCAATATAAAACGGTTCAAGATGGACAGTAAAGGAATGACACAGGTTTGCTTCCCATCATCTACGTTGCTTTGAAATGTGCTCTCTCCTATAAACCATGTTCTCACTCACTCTCTCTCTCTCTCTCTCTGTGTATATATATATATATATTTACGCTGTATTTTTTATGGTGCTATCTCCTATAAACCATGTCTTTTTATTGTAGACATGTGTGCATATGTAGTATGTATCTTCTAGAATCTTTCAATAATGTTAGAATTTTTTGCCAGTAAAAAGGCAAATATTATTTCTAGAAAACAATAAAAATACAGAGAAAGTGGACAAGATGGCCACTTCAAAAAACGGAAGGTCGAGTTGTTAATTATCTCTTCATTGGTATCCCCTCCCAAAATGTGGGCAAATCTTCTTACCCTCTTTTTTGTGTGGCAATTTATGGATTTCTTGTACATCCTGTTTTAGTAACTTCGTTCTGAAAAAAAAGAAAGAAGACAAACTACATAAAAGCCCCAAAGTATAGGTCATTTTCAAGTTCATACCCACCTTTAGGGACATTTACGACCCTTGGAAAACCTACAAATTGCCCCCTCCGTTACACAAACCGTTAATGAATCTGTTAAGTGCTGATGTGGCAAATATGGGTCCAATTTTTTAATGAGATGAACTTCCAAGTGGACAAATATATAATAAAAAATTCTCTACTTTTTAATAAAAATTAAAATCATATTAAAAATTAAAAATTATCTCCTCCAAGCCCCTACCCAGCGAACCCAGCTACTCCAGCCACCAAAACCACCACCCAAGCCACCCAAACGACCACCCAGCTCCTCCATTCACATCCCTAAATAATTTACCTAGGCCACCCATCCCAGCTTTACAACCCATCTTGTTCCAGCCAAATCCCCTACTCTTGCAACTTTGGGCTTCAAGAACTTGGTTGCGTTTTGAAAATGGGTTATCGATTTTTTCAAGGGCGTGATTTTGGTTCCTCCATATTAATCCAAATGGTTGGATCATTAAAAAAAAAAAATTGGATGTTGCTGCATTTGTTTCACAATCTGGAGTCTAGCCACTTGCAGATCTGGGTATGGGGCTTGGTGGTGGGGATATGGGTGTGTTAGCATAATTGGACCGAACCAGATGTAAGAGAGAGAGAGGGAGAGACAAAGAGGGGCCGAGGGAAAGGGGATGGGGCTGGGGTGGGGCTGCGTGGAGAAGAGGGGTGGCGCTGGGCTGAGAGATTTTGGGGCTATCGGGAGGTGCGATGGGCGATCAGGAGGGGCCCTGGGCCGATAGAAACTGCCTTCAACCTTAACTCAATATCTCAAGAACAGCAATGATATTATTTCTTTCACAAAGAACAGGATATGATTTCTCAACTCACTCCTCAATATAGACTCTCTCAGTTAATAAAGAGTTAACCTAACCAAGTCTCAACTAACTAATACAGACAAAAAGTGGAGTTGTTTTATCATTTGTGCAATCAGGAATCTTGTGGTGGGTGTCTTCATCAGAATTGGGCAGCAAGATCGATCGGGAGGGGGGCTGGGTGATGAGTGATTTGGCCGTTTAGGTTTTTTTATTTTTTCAAAATAACTGTAAAGAATTTATGATTTTTTTAATGTTTATTATTAATTTTTCATATGGAGTCCGCTTCATTAAAAAATAGGACCCATATTTGCCACATCAGTATTTAACAGATTCATTAACGATTTGTGTAACAGAGGGGGGGTTTGAGTATGTACTCGTAAATGTCCCTAAAGGTGAGTATGAACTTGAAAATGACCCTATAGTTTGGGGGGTTTTATGTAGTTTGCCCAAAAAAAAAAAATTATCATTCCCTATCAAACAAAAGGCAACAGTATAATTTTTAGTGAGAGTGTAAGCTGTTGATTTTATTTGGGATGAAGTCTGATTTTTCGCTTTTGGTTGTGTTTGTTTGTTTAAGAGTTTTTGGGATATCTTCTTTAGTGTGATTCATCTTGATGTCTGTGAGCTTTGTTGATTGTAACTCGTTCAGCTTTGTTATAGGGCTGGAGGCTTTGTTCATATGGAGTTCTTGACTTTTTTTTCTTGTCATTATCTGAACAAAAAAAAAGATGGACATATTCTCGATCTTCTCTTCTGCTCCTTTTTCTACATATATTCGAAAACAAATACAAAATAAATTCTTGGTGCATGTTTAAAAAAATAAAAAAATAAATTCTTGAGTCTCTGGTTCTTAGGCTCTCTCAGGTTTGATTCGTAAAAGTCCCTCTTATGGCAGGTGTTAGCGAGGTTATCTTTTATAGGGTGTCTAGGCCATATGACCAGAATCAAGCCGCAATTTGAGAAGACACGGAAAGTAAGTGGACCTAGGGCTTTACAACCTAGCCAGGTATGGGTGATGTCTCTGCAATGCTTTGAAAATTTGTCACCTTTTACATGATGGATATCTGAATATATATGTATCTTTGTACTTACGGTATTTTGCTTTTGCTTTATTACTTTTGGTGAAGTGGGGCATGCTTTGCCCTTGTGATACTCCAGAAGGTGAACCTTGCGGACTGATTAAAAACTTGGCCCTAATGACTCATGTGACAACTGATGAAGAGGAGAGCCCGTTAATTTCTCTGGTATGCTCGTCATCACACATTTTTGATATACCCATGGAGGTGTAATTTTTGTTTTCACTTATTGTGCTGCATCATACAATAAATGATGGCATATTTAATAATTGCAGTACCTTCTGCATTTGCATGTGTAATTGTTAAGTCTTATATGGTTGAAGAATTGCATTATATTTTACTATATTGTGGCGGTAGGTTGTTTTGGGTTAAGGTTTCTTTTGCTGTTATTGGGAAGGAGAACGGGTTTTTTTATTTATTTATTTATTCTCTTTATCTTTTCAAAATCCCAAGCTCTAAGAAACTAGTGTGCACAAGACACACCTTTTGGAGCGAGGCACACGCTTCATCAAAATGTCCAAGTCTTCAGGCATTTTGGCTTTTCAAAGGGATGCAGGAGGCATTTCCCTTTCGCCTCATTTTGAGTTAGGCCTCAATTTGCTTTTGAAAACTCTGGGTAGTAGATGCTAAATAATAAAATTGAGTATAGTTCTCATTCCTACATTTTATGCATACATTAGATATTTGATTATTGTTCGTTATAGGTTAGTATATTATTGTGCTAATGTTGGTACTATAATTTGGTTGCAATTTCTTGGATACATATATTAATTTGTGGTACAAAAATGTTTTTATAGGATTAAATTTGTTTTGGGCCTCTATTATTTTAATATTTTTCAATGAAATCACTGCAATTAATAACGGTTGAAATAAAGATCAAATCAAGATTTCTATCATTTAAATTGACAGAATGTGCATGTCCGTGGGATGGTATTTGTATCTATCTGCAGCTGTATTGTGTATGTCTGTCCTTGTTTGTTTAGTTCTGATGTAATCTTTGTTGGAGCAAAAGATCTCCACCTTTCTCGAGTAATGATTATACCCTGTAAGATGAACAAACCTCGAGGTGAGGGGACATTATGGTGTGGTGCTAGCCAAGGACCGCCTGATGGAAGGGTCGATAGTTTCTTAATTTGCATTGGGCCCCTTTAAACAATTCTGAATTCACAGTCCGTTTAACCCAGTTAAAGGTGTGAGGGCACTTTAGTCTTGTTCATTCACGTTAGACACGTAGCAAGACGTGGTTAATTTTGGTCCCACAGACTTCTTGTGCACAACTATTTGTGTTTCTTTAAAAATTGATCAATAAATAGTTTCTTTTCAAAGCAATTAAAAAGTTGAATGTATATATGCAATGAAGCCACATAGAAGGTTCATTAGTACAGTTTTTGGGTGTTTTTTTTTTTTCAACATGACGAATAATAACTTTGTATGCAGAACGTGCACATTCCATTAATTTAACTGAGGAAAATCCTGATTTATACTTAATTGCATCAGTTATTAATTACAGGGACTTGAATGAAAAAAAAAATTTACTGAGAAGTTGGAACTAAGTAGTAAATAGCCTAAAATTATAAGGACCAGAATTGTAGTTTCAGCAAAATAATCTTTTGTTAGAAAATAAAAGTTTATTATGTTTTTCTGTCAATTAAAAGACAGGATTTTATATGTTTTCCTGAAAACTGATTTAAATAAAGACCTGCAATTTGTTGACTTCCAAAAAATCAATTGGACTTGTAGATAATATCTAGCTTCAGCAGATATCCCCTATAG